ACTCAATACTCATCTTCCTTTATTGAATCATTAATTTTTAGCAAAAATATTTATTAGAATTTCTGATTTGTTCTGTACAAAAGACATAATATTTACTGTATGCTTGCCAAATTTCGTGGAGATACATACATCGTGCCCCCCCCCCCCAGTGGCACAGCGGTATGTCTACAGACTTACAACGCTAGAATCCGGGTTTCGATACCCGTGGTGGGCAGAGCACAGATAGCCCATTGTGTAGCTTTGTGCTTAATTACAAACAAACAAACACAAATCGTATCACGGCTTCACGATACGATATCGCTGTATCGCCACACCTTTAATGTCTATACAAAACACTGTCATTTTGAACAAATGCTAAATAAAGGAAGTAATCGAACAAAAACAGCCCTTCTCCAAAGCAACACCCCGAGGTACCAATATACGTTTACTAAGCCGTTAAGGAATATACGGTCATGTGACCTCTTTGTTGAATACTGTATACATATATATATTCCTGTGTCTATGTAAACTACTTGGTGAAATAATCTTGTCGAAACTTTATACATTTATAAAAAAATTTCCTCATTACCCATTCAAGCCGTCTCCAAACTCTTTCACCAGACGAAGTTTTTCTTGGTCGTTTCATATTTTCCTATTTTTACAAATGTTTCTAATAATTCGTCTTTAGCCCGCATAGATATAATTAAGTAAATTATGCGATGTGTAGATTTAAATCCGTATTTGAGATTGAGTAGTTTTTAAAGCTATATAGCCTATGTATTGGGCATCAGTTTTTATATAAGGCTTTGCTTACTCTGCCCTACAAATGAAAGCTAGCATCTCTGACCATCAGTGCCTGAAAATGCTTATGTGTTTTATTGTTTTTATTTTTTCCGGCTACGTTTTAGCAGTACATAGGCACGTAGAATAGGTTAGCAGATATAAAGACTAGGGTACAGAGCAGTAAAATGTGATGATAACCATGTCTTGCTTTATTGTCCCAATGTACTAAACATAGTTCATGAAACTTCTTTCTTTCTTGATGAAGGCATAATTCGTGAAACTTTGCACTGTTTTTGAGAAATTAATATAGTTGAAAGAAGAGCCTTAGTTAGGGTAGGGCTGGAGGAGCAGTTGCCCAGGGCGCAGCCGGAAGGAGGGCGCAGTCCGAGCGCTAAACCTGTTATTCAATAATTTATTCAGGATTATACAAACTGGAAACTTGCCCATGGCGCAAAAATGACTGGTTACGGCTCTGATTGAACGTTTTCATATCAATGACGATGCTACATTAGCAGTTGAAAATTTTCATATCGGTGCTGATGCTACAGAAGTAGCAGAAACTTTCCTTGTTCGTGCCGGTGCTTAAAATGACGGTTGAAACTCTTCATTTTCATGCTGAGGATACAATAGATGTACATTGTTTTGACTTCTACATTTACACAAAGTAATAAAAAAGCTACTTAAGTGATTAAGCATGATTTTACTTTCCTTTGAGCTCAAGCTTTCTTTTGAATTGATAATCTTGATTATTAGATCTTTACCATGGGTGAAATTTTCAAGAAAAAGTAGACGTACTCAACTGGGTGAAGTGGAAACGTTTTTTAAATAGAAAAAAAAAACTACGTGTAAACATAAAAAACGACAAAGCAGTTCAAATAAGTCTCGGACTCGTACTGCTTTAAAAAATAAGTTCCGGTACTCATCCGGTGAGTACCGGGAAAATTTCACCCCTGGACCTTACGTAACAATGTAAAATCACCAACGATATGGAGAGCCACAGACAATAATAAAGGCTAACCAGGTGTCGAATACTAAAAGTGCTATTGTTTATAACAAAGCATTACTTTTTCAAAATGAAAAACATTAGAAACGTAAAAAAACGTAACTTTTGTAGCCTTTAAATGAAAACTATTTTTCATGATCGAATTGAGTTTCAGGCCTAACTTAAAAAAAAAAATTGCTTTTCTTGTTTAGAATGTTCGTCCTTCCCAAAACTTAAATTGGTCCATCATCTTTGCGTTACTTAATCTTCAGCATCAACCTTGTATTATATATAGTTTTACATAAATAGGACTGAAAAAAATAGTGATTCAACTAGTCAACATGTAGGTTTGTTTACAAAGAAAAGTGATTATAGGTGGACTTAGAAACTTTCATGGTAGATAAGGATTTTCTCGGGTCCAAAGGTGACCTTCATGGTTGAAAATTCTTTTATGTGTCTTTTTTTTTTAAGTTTGTATTCCGATGTTTTGTTGTTATTACATTTATTGTCATATCTTTAGTTTATTAGAACTTAGATATTCTCATGTCCGTTTCTAACCGCCCTTCTCAAAAGGGCGTAATGAGCTGTCTCTGTCTAATTCTTGTACCAACTGATATTAACAGCACGCCCTTTTTCTCATGCATCATAAGTACCTTACATTGCTTGGTATTCAACTTGTTAACTGCCTGAGTAGGTGACGCACGTTAATTTCTTTTATGTATGACCTTCAGAATTTGCTGCCCCTGTGTCCTCCAGCAGTCTTCATTGTCTCCTCCAAGAAACTTGAACTCGTCCAAACCTGCTTGTCTCGCGTCTACTTCGCCGTGTGCAATAATGAGAGACTAGTTCATTGACTCACTGTTTCCACGGAGGTGTAAGTGTAGATGCCTGCCTGAACAGAGCGCTAAAATGTTCGTTCTTTCCTGTACTCCGTTGTCAACTTTCCAGTACACTTTGGGGTTTCCTCTTCCAAAGTTAACAGGAGTCTAATCCATGTTATCGATCAACAAAAACTTCCTGAAGATCTTAATGGCTTTATGAGAACTTTACTTTTAGAAAATATTCTATTGACCTTAACTTATTCAGTGAGAAAGTATATTTACGTATTTGTATGAGTGATCGAAAAACTATGAATTTTGAAAGTCTTGGTCAGAATAAGATTTTTCACCCTAACGTCACATTAAATTAAAAAAAAGAGCTTTTACTGGGATCTCATTGTTTACGCCAACACTGACAACAGTTCTTTTGCACATGGCGTTCGTAGGATAAGTGTTACATTGCAACAACTTGAACTCAAGTTAAAGAAGTGCTTACATGTATTATTATCAATATTATGAATTTATAGATTTTTGAAAAAAAAAGTAGTTCCAAGAATGCGTAAAAATGACGTGAAGAAATGGACCAGTGCCGACTGTAATCTTAGAGTTATGCGATAAATATGTCGCTCACTAAGAGTAACAGTAAGCCTAAGAGCTCCAAGCTTACTGAAAACAATTCGATGCTTTGTGCTATAGAGTTTGAAAGGAGTTATCCAAAACTTAACGTTAGTGATTAAGCTTAGCCTTATGTCAAATATGTAGGCATAGTTATAGATGCATCCATCAGTAACACCAACACTGGCAACAGGAAAACAGTTTTTGAAGATATATGTGATAATGTATTGTGTTTAGTCCTCTTGGCAACCGATAAGAAATGAGCAACGTAAAGGCTTTATCTGCAGGTCATATTGGCAATTCTATTTATGTTGAAATGAGGTAAGTGATACTCCAAGTACAAATTTAAAAATAACCTATAAGTTGTAACTTTAGGCCTAACTTTTAATGTTATTGTGTGTAAATTTAACGTTTTATAATGTTTGCTTTACAAACGCTAACAGTGCATTGCTTCTTGATTTTAATTATATCATGGTTAAGGGATAAAAGCTTTATTTATTAAAAACAGGCAGGTAGATAAACTTTATTCAAAACACTTGTTTACTACGCAACATTAATCTCATTCTTCAATAATAATTTGCAAATTGTAAAGAATTAGTAAGATATTACAATTTGAAAGGCTTAACATGCATAATAATAATGTTGATTTAGTTATTTAGAACTCCATCGATTTATTAATTAAAAAAAAAGCTATGCTATCTCTGTTATGAGATCCAATGTATAATTTTTACAAGATCTCGGATCCGAAACCTGTTTTGGATTTATTTTTTTAATCTAGACTGAAGGAGGAAACACTTAATTTTAAGACTGTTTCAGTTGCACTGCGCATTGATATTTGATTAACCTTACAGTCAACTGCATTACACCATTCTATCCCCATCCAAAATAATTGATAATCCCAATAATGTTTCAATTATCTTCAATACTCACCTCCCCATCCAACAACAGAGATGCGGTACTTATTTCTAGAAATCAAGCACTAATGAGACCAAATTAGAAAATATAGCATTTAACCTAGTTATTATGATATTAAGAATTGTCTCATAAATTAATTTTATTCTAAATGTTCATTTTGATAAGGTTATCTGAAATTATATTTAATCTCTCTTTCACAGTCTTTAGGCACGTGTGTGTGTATGGTAACTTTCACCAAAGAATATTAAAATGAAATTTTTGAGAAGCTGTCACTTAGTTTAAAAACAATTCCAGTATAGCATATGAACAATGTAAATTTTGAACAAATGTAAATACAAGTTATTGGTATTGCCTTGTATAGTTTACACGCATAGAATTTAACTATTTTTTTTATTTAAAAACTTAACTGTTAGTTTTACACAGTTTGAAAGAGAATGATATAGTTATTCTGAATAAAAACTATTATTATACAACTTACAAATGATATTCGTAATTTATATGAAACTAGTAATTATTGATAAAAGTGATAGAATAAATAAAGATCCTCAAGGGAGAGAAAGTACAAAGATACCTGTTAAAACTAAAGAAAGATGGATGCTTGGATAAATAAAGGTAGAACTTCGATTAGTAGTATTATATGTTGTTACCAAAATGCTAAACAGAGTTGTCCAGTACAACCAATAGTTTCCAACACAGATACTGTTCTAACTTTGTTATTTCGTTGGACTGTTTTTTTTAATTATCTGGTGAAAACAAGGCCAAGAACAGCCCAAGTAACGGTAATAAATGGATTTTTCTTTCATGCTTAACATATCTACAAGCTGTCTTTACATGTACACTGTGTTATATAACTTGTAGGCCTAAGTAACTTTACAAATGACGTTCAAACGGAAATACCTCGCTAATGATGCTGCGACTAAACAAAACAGAAACAGTTACATGGCTAACTGATCAAGAAACGGAATATATGCGCTAACTAACACTTATCCGAATAATTCTCTGAACTAAATTGACCGACCCATTTACCGCTAATTTCGTTTTTATAACGTAGCCTTGTTTCTAAACACTTAGCAAAGTCTCTCGATCACTATATTCTTGAACGTTCTAGTTATTCTAGAAGTAGGTAGAAGTACTTTAATGTCATGCGCCCTCTACCTAGCATTTGAATTAAAATATTGAAAATGCAGCTTACAACAATACGTTTAATCATAATTTAACTTAATTTTTAAACAAATTTCTTACATTATTCATCAGTATTGAATTTACAGTTAAAAACAGCTTTGAATCTATACAGTTCGACAAGGAGTTAGTGACAAAAACTGTTTATCGTTATAATTCAGGCTGAATTTCTATATGCCAATTGTTTCAGAACTTTGTTTTTTGAAGGTCAATCCTGTATTATATAATGGATTAAGTCAGTATATATATATCAAATTGTTACGGAGCAGTCTAATTTCCTGTTCAATAACCTGAACCAGAGGCGTCGCTAGGTGCTTAAAAGATTCCGGTTCGGGCCCATATCGGCGTTTCAGTATGATATCGATTCTTGTTTTCTGTTCCGATTTTTCAAGACACCAACTGGAGATTCGGGACAAAGAGAACCAGGCCACGGGCCCCATGTGCCAGCGTCTAGTGACGCCTCTGACCAAAACTACGATGAAGTATACAAAGTTGCAACGGGTAATTGAATTTACATTAGCTGTTACACTAGATAATATTTTTTTAAACAAAAAGATCGTGTTAACTTAGTTATAATTTATACAAATTACTTATACGTTGGTACTAAACTTAGTGTGAAGGGTAAATGGATTCATAGTATCCTAGGCGTAGTTTTTGCCATTAAAAGTGCATCAGCAGAGTGTCACATGGATACATAAACAAATCATCATCTCTCCTTACTAAATAATAAATTTCTATCGCACCCAAATTAAAATCGACGCGGAACTTCGGTATTTTGGACATCAGAGTTTTCTTTATTGTCTACATCAGCTATTCACATGTTCAGTTGAAACATTTTGTTAAAGTTCCAGCTTCGATTCTAGAACTCTTTCAAAGTACAATACTTATTTCGTGTGGCAGACGTCTCAAATAGTGTATTAGTTCCAATGTGTATCTACTTAGATTAGTAGCACTATAAGGAAGTTGAATTTGTACACAAGTCTGCAGTTCAACGTCCATTTGAGTTCATGGCTAGCTGAAGCAGACAAAAACGTCTACTTTATCGTACAACAATCAAAAATGAACATTTCGAAATGGTGGTAAGAGTTTATGATGGACGCTTTAAATAAAGGGAATACTTCTTATCATTCAGTTTATTCCCAATTTTAGTAAAGGCTGTTCTGTCACCGTGCTGTATTTAAAATTGTACGACAGTAAATGCTCGATTAAAATGACGCATAGAGGGAAATATTATCTGTAGCAACACGTTAATGTTAGCTCATGTTTTGAATCAAAGACAAAATGAGTTATACTAGTATTATAATCTTTCGACAATAAATGTTACACGTTTAGATCTTTCTACAGGATTAATTTGATTATCTGATGGAACTTCTTGGATCATGTATAATTTAACGACATTTCAATCGTACTAGTTTTAAGTTTTTTAAGATACATATTTTGAAGTTGCGTAAAATATTACATTATCACGCAATTTTGGAAATTTTGTTAAACACCTAAGTTCATTGAAGAAAGATTTATAATTAATCCGTTGCTGTAAACGTTAGTTGCAAGTGTGTGATTATTTAGTAAAAGAAGTGTTGCAAGAAGCAACTTGATGTACATCATCCAACATCTGTTTAGCCTACAAAGTTTTAACGTATTCTGTGATACGATAATATTTTGTTTTATATACCCTCAGATGTTACAGGAAAGTAGAATGGTAGTAACAGATAAGTAGTCTATGTGGTTTTAGAATCAGTTTTACTCGCAGGGCTACTAGGCCTTTCCGAACGTTTTTATTTTATTGTAATTTTAGCATCCTAATTTAATGTAAAATTATATAATTATTAGTCTTTGGTAATCGTGTTTCATTATTAGTGACCTCTTTAAATAAATGTTCATTACGAAACTTCCTATATCATGACGCGTGGATTTTATTTTTTCTAAGCCGTAGAGTTTCTTCTACTTCTATTTCGAAGTTTGCAGTTCATTTCACTGAATTTGTAGGTTTACTTTTTCTATCTGTAATAAAAAGGATTTCATTCCCGCAGTTTTCTTACTGTCCAAGGTGATGCGTGTCTGTGTTATTTTCTTGAATATGCTTTGGGTTTTGTTATATGGTAGGTAACCTGTAAATTTGTGTGTGTGTGTGTATATATATTTATTTATTAATGGGTTAAAATTCAGAACTGTTGTCTCAGTCAGCTTTGTACTATATTCCAAATAATATATAGTCAGCGATTATTGTTGACTATATAAGGATCTTGATGGAGTATTAATAACTTCAAGATTTTTATATCTTGAAGTGAAATAATTTAAATAACTTCATTCAAATATGATTCAGGTTTGTTTTACTTTAGACTTCTACGAGCTTGCTTTAATCTTTACAAGAACATATAATATTAGTTACTGTTTTAGTTTTAAACTAAGATTGAAATACATTTTTCTGTCTTTGAATAATGGGGAGTAATAAAATAGTAAAACGAATTTATTACGTACCATGTAGGTAGCACTAGTAGTCTGCATTTGGAAACTACTGTTGTAGTATTCGTGTGATTTATTTGGTCGGAGTATTTTTTTTAATCAAAAATGATTTTTTATCAAAGATGAGAAAATTGTGACTTTATAAAGAGTATTACAATTTTTTCATCTTGTTCTGATTTTTTATGGCTGTTATTATATCAATAATAAAAAGGAGATGGCCACTTTCAGTTTTGAATGATGAATTAAAGCCAGTGAGAGAATGTTGGACAATAAAAACAACTAAAATGTAGTTTATTGTGTTAACATAGCGATGGATTGAAGGGCTTATACAAATCTAATCCACGATACTGAAATAGTTTCAGGTCAAATAAACGACTGTACCGTTTTATTTGCCAAGCGCTTCTAATCGTAGATATGTTGATACTTTAGTTTAAACAGTACTTCTCATAAGGTGGAATCGTGAGGTACAAATTGAAGTCGCTTGTGTTACATACAGTCTCTCGTGCTTCGCGAAATATGCGGCAGACCTTGGCCAGTGCCGTTAAAGGACCAAGATTTCATTGTTAATTGTTTCTTAGCCTGAACGGGAATAATAAATATGCCACGTGGGTGCTCCACTTCTCTCGTTTCATGGGGGTGGTTACCACCAGCACTGTTGTAGCGGCTAGGTGGGTCAGGAAAAGTAGTACCCTCCTTTTCTTGCAGTTTTACGGTTTACCGCTGATTATCAATATGCAAGCTTTATAGACCCACTTGAAGAACCT